AAATAATTTTACTGTGTCGTAGCCAACTTTTCAAGTCGGAAGCACGAGTTGGATGCAAGTTCTCGAACAAGAAAGAAAGAAAGAAAGAAAGAAAGAAAGAAAGAAAGAAAAAGTAATTTAAAAGAAATAATAGGCTGGACTCCAATACCGCAAACACGGAGTTTAATACACATATCAATGTAAATTATTTCTAGGAGACTTGTCGGCTTTCTATGTGTGATACTGACGCATAAACAATATAATCAATATAGCGACACATATATACGCACATATATTGTATAAACTTTGCTATATTTACATAAAAAAGAGTGTCCAACATTGGAAAGCGTTTTTTTTTTTATTATTTATTCTGTATCTCTCAAAGCATGATAGTACAGCCACTAACATGCAAGCGGTTACAGGATGTGGAGGATTTAGGAACAGAAACATTAGTAATGAGTAGAAAGAGAAAAGAACAATCAGGCAGACAGCAAATAGTAATTGACACTGCATTTAAATGTTTGCAGATTAAAGTTGGTTGAAAAGTTGGAAGGGAGATCCACAAACAATAAGTGTGAAAAAAGAAATTGTCAGCATAGAAGTTATGGCTACATCTAGCTAGTTTAACTGCAAATAGATGAGATCTCGCTGCCAGTCTAGTATTGCACTTAGTTTCATACAGTTTAGGTACAATAGCAAAGAGCTCATCCAAACAATTACCATGAAAGTATTTATAAAAAAGGCACAGAGAAGCAACCTTACAATGGTGGGCAAGTGACAGAAGCCAAGCCACCAGATCAGGACAAATAATATCGCTGATTCTTCTTTGGATCTCATCAAGGAAACCAACATACCAGACCCTGTCAAAGGCTTTCGAGATGTCCAGGGCTTCACTGTTTTTATCTAGAGCATGACAGACTCTTTCCACAATTATCATTATTACATCAGCAGTTGACCTGGAGAAACGAACGTCGTTTATAGATATATTAGTGCATTCGTGCCATCAAAAATGAGGACAATAGTTCAGTTATGTGCCATGCGTGATGATAGGTGATCATCTTTCGATACATGACTGACGGGGTAGATTTTTTCCCGTAGTAGATGGCCATTTCTTTCTGCGGTAGACCAATTGCCATCCAATGCTATAGAGCCCGGTCTGTCTTGCTATTTATCCATAGCTGGGGAGAGAAGAAGAGGATTCATACCTTTCCCAAGAGTATTAGCACGTAAGTGAATTTAATGGATCTGACTAGAATTCGAACTTGGCTCTCCGATTTCTCAATCCGAGCCGCTAACCGTTATTCCCCCGTGCCTCCTACGAAGTTTTAATAGTGAAATGGAATGAGATAAAAGACTTGAAACAATGTATCGAGATTCAATAAAACTGGGAGAAAAAAAACTCACAACTAAAATAGAGGCCAAATGAATGATTTAATTAATCTGCTCCCTTTATATTTTTTGAACGTTAAATTGTATCGATGATTCATTGATTATTTCTGGTATTATAGAAATCGCTTTTTTGCTCAGTATCTTCTCATGTTAAAAAGTTTATGTTTAATATAACAGGGAAATGCTTCATGTCTATTCTTCATCTTTGAGGAGGATTGTCCAGCACTCATTGCCATATAAATTCATAAGGCCAGGGTACGAAAAAGAAAAGCTTGTTAAAACAATTACTATGTAAATATTTATAGAAAAACCACAGGGAAACTATGTTATATGGCAGAGGGAAAGTGACGGGAATGGAAATGTATACTAGTGTACCATTCAAAGTACTTATATACACTAGTGTACACATGCTGTAAAAATTGACAGCAATTGTTAGAAATGGAGATAAAGAACTTATAAGTAAAATTTCCTTTATATTTTTTCGGCGTTAAATGTTTTATGTGTTTAATTCATATAATTCACAACTAAAATTAGAAGCCAATGAAGCGTTTAATTAATCCGTTCCCTTTATATTTTTTCGGCGTTCAATGGTATCTATGCTTCATCTATTAATCCTCATATTATAGAAATCGCATTTTGTCCAGTATCTTCTCATGTTAAAAATATTATGTTTAATATAACAGTGAAATGAAAATATATCACTCGGGAGAAAAAGATTAACAACAGAGAAACAAAGACGACGACGACAAAACCTATTTCAAGACCAAATTGAAGCAAGACGATCACTTAATAGACAAAGGTATCTGAGTGCTTCATATGAAAGGCTTGAACAAATAAAACTGCAAACCTAACAAACGTAGGAGTAAAAGGAACTGATTAATTAAACGGTTCATTTTTCTAGGGACATAATTTTGTCTAAATACAGATAAATATTTTATTTGTATACTACTTACATTATTCGGACTATTGTCCTCATCTTTGTCGCCATATTGATTACAACGTTTCGGCCGTTGTATTCTCCGGCCTTCAAGTGGTTGGAATGTCGAACTAAACCCTTTATAGGTAGACTGTTCTAGTTCCACGTGCCATGTTTAATGGATGTAGGTTATCAGTTATCTCCAGTTAATTCGCCACTCCAAGTCCTTAAACGGGTATTTAACTCATACTCTTTGGGTCCTGTTACTGGATCTAAACAACGCCTTTATCCACTGTGCTATGTGTCCTTGAGGACATCTGTGTATGAATTTCTGGGTATTATAAACCTAATGTCTTCAGCAACCATTTTTTAAAGGGTTCTCATATTGCAATTTTTGCTGTTATCAAGTCATGTTTTTACCAGAGCTCATATTGCAATTTTTGTTGTTGTTATCGCTTTTCTCTGGCACTCCTTATTACTGGTCTTATTTGTATAGTTATTAAAAAGACTAAGGGAAGTAAGCATTCATAAATTGAGTAAATTAAGTTGCTTTACCCCCGTTTCTAATACAGATGGGACAGGAAATATATAAATAAATACATATTGATAATTATTATATGGTTTGACAGAAATGGTAAGGGTGAAATTATCCGTTTCCATTCAGTAAAAATATAGCATTTGTTGACAGAACATTTAGCGTTATAGACGGTTATCTTTCTCATAAAAGAGTTTTTTTTCCGGAAAATAGACTTCTTAAGTCCACTAACTGTTATCGCTCTTTCTAGTACTGTTGCGGTTTCCTTCCTAGCCTTTAGCTTAAGCTGGTGTGGAAAGTCAACATCTTGGTTAAATCATTATTTTCCATTTTGGTTACATCTTTCTTTTTATATGTCATGTCCTTTCAGGACGTAGGCGATCATGGATCTCTACCCGCCTCTATCCCTTGCAGCTCTCAACAAGTTTCTTCCCTCTGCCATCTCCCCCAGACCACGTTCTGTCATCCACCTTCTCAAGCCCGCTAGCAATGTCACGCACTATTTTCCCTTGGTTCTCTTTCCCTCTATTCGACCTGTGAGTATCAGATTCTCCAGGCCCTCCTTCCTCATTATGTGTCCCAGAAACTTCAGCTGCCTCTTCCTGATGTTAAGCCTGAGCCTCCTCTTTGTCTGCATCCTCTCCAAGACCTCATCGTTGCTCACACACTCGGTCCACGAAATCCTCAGCATCTTTCTAGTTACATGCGCTACCCATTTTGTTGTCATTGCTGTTGGAAGTTTTAAAGTGATGTGGTTTTTGTTATTTGGTAAATTTCTTTTTTGTGATTATGTAGCGCCAGTCTACGAGAAGGATAGTACTCTTTAATAAGAACAGTGTTTATTTACTTCAATCCATTTTTAACACTGATACTGTAGACATTGTTCTTCTTCTATTTGACATGTTTATTCAGGGCGTGAGTGATCATTGTTCTCCACAACTTCCTATCCATTGTAGCTCTTAGTCACGCTTGTCCTTTTGCAATCCAATTCATTCTGCCAACCATTCGTACAAGTTGATCAAGTAGGTGGCCCGCTTCCCCTGTTTGTCTCTTTCAACATAACCTTGTACAAAAAGTTAGAAACGAACCCCACCCATCAATACTAGAAAAATCTATAACAGTTAGTGGTCTTGAGAAATCTATTGTAAAACTGTTTTAAATCGGTACCACCATAGAACCTCGATGCCTAAGGTTTAAAATGATTTTTTTTGAATGAAAAATCTTTCTTGAAGCTTTTTTTCTCGCACTTCTGGCTTGTGGAACTCTTCCAACTTCTTGCTTTCCGGTCGCATTTGATCTTCAAAAATTTAAATGCAATGTCAATCGTTATCATTTGTTATCTCAATTGCTGTTCTTTTATCGTTTTCGCTCCTTAATAATGTTTTTCTTCACTATTTACATTATTCGGACTATTGTCCTCATCTTTGTTGCCATATTTATTACAACGTTTCGGCCGTTGTACGCTCCGGCCTTCTTCAGGTGGTTGGAATGTCGAACTGAACCCTTTATTTCGCTCACTGGGGTAGACTGTTCTAGTTCCACGTACCATGTTTGATGGATGTCAGTTATCAGTTATCTCCTGTTAATTACCCTCTCCAAGTTTTCCAACGCCTTACTACCTTATCTCAGAAATATAGACAGATATTGAATGGTTTTCTTTTTCTTATATTCTTTCAGATTCAATACCCCTCCGCGTCTTAGTGACTTTCTTGTCTTGCTTCGGGTGAAATGATTAAAAAAAATATAAAAATATACATAAATATTCTTTTAGCATTTTTATCATTATTATAATTTTGACTTTTATTTAATACTGTATTCAAAGAAGATATATATATATATATATATATATATATATATATATATATATATATATATGCACACACACATACACATACACATACATGCGTGCGTGGTTTATTCAATATTTATACATCATAAAGGCAGCACAGTTTTGAGGCTATGGATGAATCATAGATTCGAGCTTGAAAGCTTTCGACGCCAGACCAGGTATTATGACTACGGCTTCAGATATTTCATCAATGAAGCACCAATCTAATATTCCGGAATTTATTAATGACCTTAGGCGACCTGCCCTCGTTATCACTTTTAGCCTTGTTTTCTTCGCTTTTCCGCCATCATACTGCCTTTGGTCACAGTTAATATCAGCCTTATCTCCAGTTAATGCGATGGCGTCACATTCAGCTGTCATTTGGCGCGTTCACGTTTGTTTTATCTCTTCACTGTTTCCTCCATTGGCCAATATCTATGTCTCCGAGGCGAAACCCAAAATTTGATGTCTCTTGACAGAAAAATGAATAAGCCACAATCAGATTGTCTGAACATATAGACGAAGAATATAAACAGCAGACATATTTAAACAAAACTTAAAAGTTACCTCGTCTGGATTTCGTGTCGGAACACAACAGACGTTCAACAAAAGTTGGAAGGTACGCGGACGAAAAGTAAAAAAATTAAATGAAATAAAGTAAATATGGCGGAATTAGTTCGACGGATTATTTTACAATTATTCGGATTATTGTCTCATCTTTGTCGCCATATTTATTACAACGTTTCGGCCGTTGTACCTCCGGCCTTCTTCAGATGTTTGGAATGTCGAACTGAACCTTTATTTCTTACTGCCATGTTTAATGGATGTCAGTTATCAGTTATCTCCTGTTAATTCCCCTCTCCAAGTTATCCACTGCCTTAACCGGATATTGAACTCACACTTTGGGTCCTGTCACTGTCAGGCGTTTGGTTAGATCCAGTGAGAGGACCCAAAGAGTGTGAGTTCAATACCCGGTTAAGGCGGTGGAGAACTTGGACAGGGGAATTAACAGGAGATAGCTAATAACTGACATCCATTAGAAATGGCATGTGGAACTAGAACAGTCTACCCCATTGAGCGAAATAAAGAGTTCAGTTCGACATTCCAACTAACTGAAGAAGGCCGGAGCGTACAACGGCCGAAACGTTGTAATAAAAATGGCAACAAAGATGAGGACAATAGTCCGAATAATGTAAATAGTGTACATAATACCTCATCTCAGAAATATAGACAGTCTCCTAAATTAGTTCTTTCAAATTCCGTACTAACAAAAGTCAGACGACACCATCATCCAGGCAATTCTGTTGAACTAGAAGCTCACCGAATCCGTTCCAAGGATAAATTTATCTGTATTTAATGTTAAAAATTATACTTTATTCATCGAAATGAATCTTAAAACTCAATTAAAATCTCGAGAACTCTGATGTCATAGACACTTTAATTTGGACTTACAAAACAGACATAAAGGAAAACTACAAGAACTTCTACAGAAGGTAGGGAAGGAAACGAGAAGAAAGGACAAAACATCAAGTGCAAGAAGACTGAATGTATGGTCCTCAGCAAAAATAGATAGACCAGCATGCAAATTACAAATTGGAAATATCAAAATAAAATAAATACAACAATTTAAATATCTGGGAAGTGTTTTAACAGAAACGGGAAGTAGGACCCCGAAATCCAAATATATATATTGTGATATATATATAAAAGATGCCTTCCAAACGCAATCTTCAGGCTTGAAGAGTGTGTTTACATAAAACAGACTACTGCCGCTGGTATGGATATATTCAGTATCCGCTTATATATATATATATATAGGACATATGGCACAGTGGATAAAGACACATTGGTTAGATCCAGTGACAGGACCCAAAGAGTGCGAGTTCAATACCCGGTTAAGGCAGTGGAGAACTTTCAGAGGGAAATTAACAGGAGATAACTGATAACTGACATCCATCAAACATGGCACGTGGAACTAGAACAGTCTACCCAGTCAGCGACAGAAATAAAGGGTTCAGTTCGACATTCCAACCACCTGAAGAAGACCCGGAGCGTACAACGGCCGAAACATTGTGATAGATATGGCGACAAAGATGAGGACAATAGTCCGAATAATGTAAATAATGTATATATATATATATATATATATATATATATATATATATATATATATATATATATATATTGATGAAATATATTGCTTTTTTATGCTAAATGCCCTCGTGCAATTGTAGTTGTATTTTACAGTTTATACCTTATAAGTCCTTTGTGTTATTTGTAGAGATATGTTACATTTCTTGTTTTTTCCTTTATGTTGATTGGTGATATGCGATTTAATTGTTATTACAGATAAATAGCATGTTAAATGGCGCGATAATGTAGTAGTTGTGAAACCAATATCTGTTCTATTTGAATTAAACTTTTTAGAGAAGAATTATTCAATCAGGCATGCGAATTCATAGATCACGTTGGTTTGTTGAACCTTTTGTTTTGTTTTGTTGTGACGGTGGTGATGATCCTGTTAGAATTTTTAGGAGATTTTTAATTTTTGTAACACATGATAAATATAATTTATTTATTTTTGTCGTTACTTGATATGCATCTAAGTATTAGATTACTTATAACTTTTTCGTATTATTTGTATTTTTTTTTACATTATTATTATTTTTTTTTTTGTATTATTGTTGTTTTTTTTTCCAGAAATGTGCGGTTCGTGTCACGGATAGAGATTCATAGTGAGAAATCGGAGACCCGAATTCCAGTCGATTCCATATTATTCATTTACGCGCAAATACTCTTAGGAAAGTTATGATTTCATCTTCCCCCGCTATGGGTTAAATAAAAAGACTTGTATCTGGAAAAAAATCTTTGTGATCTCTCAATAAAAAAAAAGATTTAATGTAACATTTACTCGCAAATAAAAGAGGAATTTTTCTTACAATCAATTATTTTTTCTACGGTTAGTTTATTTTGTTCATCGACTGTGTGGTTAGGGAAATTATTGTTAATTATTGTTTGTTTTATATTTATGAAGTTAAATAGAATGTTATTTGTGTCTGTGCAGGAAAAATTAATAATACGAAGCATACCTACAAATATCTACATGTCGATAAACTCTAATCAATTCGACCATCCCACCGGCCACTCTTTAAAAGACGGAACCAACATATTGTTCTCGTCTGCTTAACATCAGCAAAGGCCCGTTACAGCAGATGACAGAAGAGAAAGTAGACAGAGTTTCATTACAGTTAAGAGCGAGAATTGTTGGCCTGTCTCCAGTAACTTTGCCCTTTCTCTTTCTTCCCTGTTGTCGGAGACTACTGTCTACTGCATACTCGACCTTGGGCCTAGACCAAATCGTTGACTTGTTACCGGGGTATTTATTGATAGCCACCCGAAATACTCTATCTAAATTGCTTTTAGTCCGGATTATCAGTACGCAGTTACGTGACGGTACACCATCTTCCAAAATAATAATCCCTTGTTTGGGACGCCACAAGTCTTTCGTTCTTTGTTCTTTTAGTCTTTCATATCATAATAGAAAACGGCCCATCAGATGCTATGGAGAAGAAAAGGATTTTTTTTTTAAATCAAATACACAATTATGTTTTTCTGTTCTTTTTTCTTTTCTTTTTTTTTTTAAATATATCAAAATACATATTAAATAATCAATACGATATCAACCTAAGCACTCTACAGAAACAAATTCTATTTGAAGATTCGTTCAAAGATACACGCATCTTTACTAAATGTTTACTCAGTGCTCAAGTCATGATCTAAAATAGCCTCGTCAGATCGAAACATTCATATATGGAGGCCATGATGGCGCCCAAATCGTTCAGAAATTTCTAAACTACCAACCCTATAGAGCCGCTTCCCCAGATCAATGGTTAAAAATGTCTTCAAGAGAATGAACCACCCATCTTCGGAAAGTGTTGACTGGCGCTACAGAATCATAAAGAACTGTACCAAATAACAAAAACCACACCACTTGAGGACTTTCAATAGCTGCACACAGTTAAAATGGATAGCGAATGTAACGAGAAGAGATAAGAATGATATAATCAAGATGTTGACTTTCCACACCACTTCAGATAAAAGATTAAGAAGAAACAACCATCAGTAGTGGAAAGACCTATAACAGGTATTGGACTTTAAAAAAAAATCTATTTTCCTGAAAAATTGTTTAAATAGAACGAGTTTATAAATTATAACTGACAATTAAGGAAACGGTTAACAGTACCATAATCATTAGAAAGAAGGAGAATAGATACTACACTTGTTGTATTTACTCGTCCCGCCACACCAACGGTGAAGGGATATTGTGCAAGGCCGGTTTAAAGTAGGGAGGCTCGGCGCATGCACATGAGCAAAGGCCAAAAATTCCCCAGTCCCCGCAATCAACCTCTCCCTGGCGTCAATACTCTACCGCCACCACTTTTGATGCAATCAGGATGGGGTGCTGCTGCAACGTTGGAATCCCTTGTTGCGATCGGCAACGACCCACTATGCCACTTACATTGTATCAAACCAGCCACATTACCCCCGTATTCCATCGGTGAGAAGGAAGTTCCACTCGAACAACTTCTTTCCGCGAACCACTGCTTTGTGAAACTCCCAAGAAGATGTTACCCCGATCACTACAGTCTTAACCTATTCAAATCTAGGGGTAACCGTTAGCTTCCTCTACTATCAGTACAATTTTTCTCCTAACGTAACCCTCTGCCTCGAGTGGCTCTTGGGCCTTGTACAGAGTGACACTTACTCTAAAAAAAAAAAAAAAGAAATTCGTCCGAAGGCAAAAACACATTTGAAGGATAAAATGAAGGCAGTTACTACACTTTGATCCCAACCATACAGCCAGGTATTAATTGATTGATTGATCTGTTTTCTACGGATTATCAACCCTTTGCAGATTATTTAAAGCCAGAAAACATTTTTATATTGTATGAATTAGTACTTTTCTTTTCTTTTTTTTTAAAGATAATAATGATTTAGTAATACGAATTATTTTACTCCAAGCAAGGTAATGGGGTTACTAAGACGGAAAGACTTACTGAGTGTAAAAAATATAAGAAAGAAAAAAAACGTTATTAAGTCGAGGGAGACAATTTAAAAGGACAGGATTTAGGTAGACAGAAGATGACCATTAACATCGCATACAGCTTAAAAGACTAGGAATTTGTAGCGAGCCATGATCACCCACGTCCTGAAGGGACACGGCACATGAAAAATAGGCTTGCATAAAATTATAGTCTTATTTCAACTACCTGGCAAACTAGTGTTGCAAGACATTACTACTACTACCACGACTACTACTATGACTCTGCCTGATTAAGTAAAGTTTAATAAAAACACTAATTATAGTACTAATTATTTAAAAGTGGATATTTTTGGTGTGGAAAGTCGGTTTACAGACGGAGTTGTAAAAAGCATGGATTTGTGCTTAAGCAGGTTATAGGTTCGGCCAGCACGTAGGAGATGAAAGGTAACTCTTTTATCGTATGAATGGTCATAAAAAACCGCAAGAGTGATTTTATAGATTATAAGAGTCACCCCGGACTCCCAAGACCAAGCAAACCCCCACCGACCCAACAACAACAACAACAAAAAAGCCTGATTTAAAATTCCTAACGCGAGCAAAGGTCAACGCTCACAGCTCCTATCATCTTACACTATAAACGAAAAATCTATATCCATATCTCTGTACCCAGCCACCGACGTGGTAAATGTATTTTTAATATACGTTTTCAAATTTAAACATCATCAGTTTATTTCCATTTTAGCACAGAATTGCAAAATAAAAGTTCCTGTCATGAGAACGACTCGTTGCGTCTTCTCTTTCTAACATCTTCGGCTGATATAGTGCAGAAAGACTATATTGAATTCATTGTTAGGTCTGCTGCTAAGAATGTTGCCTCCTTGTGTTGTGCTAGACAATTTTTCTCTCAAGAATCTATCATGCATATTTATAAGTCTACCATGCTTTTCAGTATTGGCAGCAAGGTCTAATCAATTCACGGTTGAATTGGCTACATGTAACCGTAATTTCTATGCTAACAGTTTCTTTTCTCGCACTTCTCGTTTGTGGAACTCTCTTCTGGTTTCATGCTTTTCAGCCAAATTATTATTTCCATTTTCCACGGGATCAAAACGGAACAGTCTATTATTTAAGAGGTATTGGCAGGGTTTTCCGTTATTTCTGTTTTTATCTTTCTTTCTTTCTTTCTTTCTTTCTTTTTATTTCTTTCTTTCTTTCTTTCTTTCTTTCTTTCTTTCTTTCTTTCTTTCTTTCTTTTCTTTCTTTTTTCTTTTACTGATACCAAGCATCGATATGTCTTTTCCGTCTTTCCACGCGATCAAAACGGAACAGTCTATTATTTAAGAGGTATTGGCAGGGTTTTCCGTTATTTCTGTCTTTATCTTTCTTTCTTTCTTTCTTTCTTTCTTTCTTTCTTTTTCTTTCTTTCTTTCTTTCTTTCTTTTCTCCCTTTCTTTCTTTCTTTCTTTCTTTCTTTTCTTTCTTTCTTTTCTTTCTTTCTTTCTTTTCTTTCTTTTTTCTTTTACTGATACCAAGCAGCGATATGTCTTTTCCGTCTTTCCACGCGATCAAAACGGAACAGTCTATTATTTAAGAGGTATTGGCAGGGTTTTCCGTTATTTCTGTCTTTATCTTTCTTTCTTTCTTTCTTTCTTTTCTTTCTTTCTTTCTTTCTTTCTTTCTTTCTTTCTTTCTTTCTTTTCTCCCTTTCTTTCTTTCTTTCTTTTCTTTCTTTCTTTTCTTTCTTTCTTTCTTTCTTTCTTTTCTTTCATTCTTTTCTTTCTTTTTTCTTTTACTGATACCAAGCAGCGATATGTCTTTTCCGTCTTTCCACGCGATCAAAACGGAACAGTTTATTATCTAACACGTAATGGCAGGGTGTTTTTTTCTTTATTTTTTTTCTTTCTTTGTTTACTTTCTTTCTTTTCTCTCTCTTTATTTTTCTTTCTTTTTTTACCTTCTTTCTTTCTTTTTCTTTCTTTCTTTGCTTCTTTCTCTCACTGACACCATGTAGTATCTCTGATATGTCTTTTCCATCTTTCCAACTTTGATCTTTAAATTTCAAATGCAATGTCAGTCGTTAACTACTGTCTTCTTTGTTACTCTTTTATTGTTCTCGTTCCCTAACGTTTCTCTTTTTTGTTCTTGTTCGTCCATACACAGTAACCTCTTGTATCTTAGTGGCTTTAGTGCCCTGCTTGGGGCGATATGATTAAAATGAATTATTAAATAAAACTGGCTTGGAATAAATCGCTTTAATGGCGAGTAATCTTCCTCGACTGAAAACCATATCAAGAATTTGTTAAAAAAGCAAAAAAAAAAAAAAATTTTTTTTTCTACATTAAAAAACAGCGGAAGTTTACTCAAAGGATATTAAAGAGTTGCCTGATAAGTTGCAACAACCATTGAAAAATAATGGTGAATATATAATTAAATAAAATGCAATTTTTTGAAGAGTAAAAGAGAAATCATTTATGACTCAACAATAATGTCTTTTTTTTTCTTAATATATTGATGACAAAGTAACAGCTTTGCAGGCAATGGCGTGTGCCCAAGTGAGGAAGTGAGGCGGACAGAAAGAGACAGGGGAAAAAAAAGAGACGCTAGTCGTTATAAATTGGTTGAGTGTCAGCGGTTCCAAGGAAAACGTTTTACAAAACCTTTCTTCCACAACGGCCAGCTTTTCTTTTCTGTTTTTAATTAGCAGACTCTTAATATCTAAACCCGTGGTTCCCAATGGGGGCGCACGCCTCGCAAAAGGGGTGCTTTTTATTGGGGGGTGGGGTCAGTTCTAGTGAGTATGAGTGTGTGTGCGAGTTAATACAAATGGTGCATATATAGTATGTAGTCGTAACTGATTTAGTGAGACAAGCTTGTTAACCATTACACCTCGTCGAAGTGTCCAGAAATAACGCCGTATGTTAGGGTTTCTATCGTATTAATTAAATTGACATCGATAAACTGGATGCCTCTATAAACTTTTACAATATTTAATATTTTTTTTCATATTCTTGATCTGGTGTGCTTAATCAATGTTAATCTGAAAAAATGATTATTTCTCTTCACAGCGTCGACTGTACAACACCACCGAATTAGTAATTTTCAACAACTGAAAACCGGCTGTTTTTCAACTGTTATATAATACAGGAGATATGCAAAAGTAGGTATACATTAATAAAATAAAAAATGCGCGCGAAAAACTTATTGTATTTAGTATACAAACATATCAATAATAACATGACAAGAATAAACATAACAATCCCCCAAATGCTTACCCCCGTCATTCAAGCACTTTTCTTTGCGTGCAAAACATTTATTACCATAATGTAACTTCACTGTGACTTTTTCTCTAAATACTTTAATGGTACTAACTGTTCTAATAAGCTCTTCTCCTTCAACTTTACAAATTTAAGCGCAGTACTGGATTGGCATGTGGGTCTCATCATTTTACAGTTGAAATGGCAAGATGTAACCATAAGTTCTGATGTAATGAATATGCATACACCTGAGTTCCCCCTCACAGTAATATGATTGGCTGGTGTCAGCCATAAATACTGACTGAGGTGGAGGTACATCATCTACGTCTACGCATATGGTCTACGCCTATTGGTCTACACCTATTGCCTAAGCATATTGCCTACGACTACGACGAGTACCAGTCGATTACTGCTACTGATTGTCCTACTCAGTTACAGTAGCCAAAACCACTTAGTTACTTCGAACTTCCGGGACATATCAAGTTCCATGCTAACAGTTTCTTCTCTCACACTTCTTGCTTGTGGTATTTCTTTACAGCTTTTTGTTTCCCAGTCAGCTTTGATCTTCAAAAATTTAAATGCAATCTCAATGAGAAGTAGTTAGACAGTAATGAAACGTGCACGCAAAACGTATTGATTATAAAAAAAAATGTCATTAATAAATATCTTAGTCCCTCAAATGTTCAAACTGTTTGCTCCCATCATTCACACACACCTCTTTACCTGCAAAAAATTTATTTTTTATTAAAAAATAAAAAATTATAATAAATGCATTATAATAAAAATTATAAAAAAATAAATATATTAAAAATGGTTTTAATGAATTAAATAAATCCTAGAATCACTATTCTAATACCGATATAATATTTGCTGTATACCTACTTTTGCCCCCCCGTATATGGGTGGAACAAAGAGCTTACAGCTATATCATATTGAAACACAGGTTCTTGTACAATCCCCGAAGTTAAGCAATGTCGAACCTGGTCAGTACCTAGATGGGTGATTGATTGGGAATAAGTTCTATTCTAATAGGTTTTTCGCACACACTTATTGTATGGATTATGCAAACATGTCAATAATAAACATATCAGTCCCTTAGACGTTCAAACTGTTTGCCCCCCCCCCATCATTCACACACTCCTCTTTACCTGCAAAATATTTAATATTATTATTTATTTAAAACATAATGACTATAATAAGATTTATGAAAATAAAAATACTAAAAATGGTTTTAATGAATTAAATAAATCCTAGAATCACTATTCTAATACCGATATAATAGTTGCTGTATACCTACTTTTGCACCCCATTGTATATATTTTTCAAGCTTTTTGTTTCCCAGTCAACATTGATCTTCAAAAATTTAAAAGTAATGTCAATCATTATAAGTAGGTAGACATTAATGAAAAACAAAACGTGAGCACAAAACATATTAAAGGATGAGAAATTTTCACGGATTCTGGGGTCTTTTTTTTTTGCTGTCAAAATCCGTGAATTTTTTTTTTTTGCTTATGCAAATTCTCGAAAGTTATTTTGAACCACTCAAAACTGGCCGTCTTTCAACAGGACTGCGGTAAAAGATGATATTAAAAACTGTTTTTATTGGACCGGAACAAAGGTTCCTTAGGTTTTCTAAATGAATTTCTATGGCAATATTTAGATATGTATACATAGATTTATTCTACCAAAAATGTGTCATTTTGTTCCACTACCTTTCTTCATCTTTGAGAAAGCTTCATGATTCCATCCTCCCAGAACTTGGCAGAATTTAAATAAAACGGGATGGAAATGGCTCATCGGTTATTTATAGCAACAAAAGACTGGAAATGGTGAACAGCCATAATCACCCACTTCCCTAAACTTCATAGAACATAAAAAAAAGATGAAATTCAAGTTATTATTCCCATTTTCACGTGATCAAAACAGAACAGTCTATTATTTAAGAGTTATTGGCATGGTGTCCCGTTATTTCTTTATTTCTATCTTTTTCTTTCTTTCTTTTCTTTTTTCTCTTTCTTTCTTTCTTTCTTTCTTTCTTTTTCTTCCTTATTTTCTTTTCTTTTTTCTTTCTTTCTTTTTTCTTCCTTTTTTCTTTCTTTTTCTCACTGAAACTAAGTAGCGTCTCAGATATGTCTTTTCCGTCTTTCCACGCGATCAAAACTGGACAGTCTATTATTTAAGATATATTGGCAGGGTCTTTCTTTCTTTCTTTCTTTCACTGACATCATGTAACATTTCTGATATGTCTTTCCCGTCTTTCCACGCATTTATTTTATTTATGAAGGTATTGGCAGAGCGTAACGGTCGTGCTAATTAAGGGATGGTCGAGCAGAATTATAAGATATCATTCATGTATACAGTTTGGCCCAATCGATCATTACGTATTTTCTTCTGGTTTTCTATTACTTTCTTGTCCAGAAGTAAAACTATAAATTATTTCTTTCATTTTAAATTAAAATGGAAAGAAATAATTCTTAACGCCCCCACCACCACCACCAAAAAAATGAAAATAAAATAATAATAATTAAAAAACAAAGCAAAATAACCTCAACAACCTTCTGGTTATTTGTAGTGCAGAACTATCTTACTCTTGACAATCTAAACAGATAATAGATTCTTTTTCTTGCTCGTTAAACATTGTATTCTGATCGGTCAATGGGAAGAGGGCGACTTGCGACAACAGGAGCAGGATGACCCAACAATGTGTAGAGGAAGATAGCAGATAGCAATGGCAGCATGCCTATTATTTACACATAACATTTTATTGAAAATCTTTTTTTAGAGATACTAGTTTTTACGCACTCACGCTAAACAGAGAGTGTGAGAATGCGCAATTGACAGAAACGATACTTTCTTCTTTCCTTTCATTTTCCTCGTGAATAAAATCCAATAATGGTTCCCTGCCTTTTTGACGCTAAGATGCATTTTGGGGTTTGGTTGTGAATCATGGCTGATGTAATCATTATTATTTACCCTGCCTCGGCTTAATCCCGGCCGACCTCCGGCTAAAATAGCAAGTATTAGCGAATAAGAAGACTGTCCAAAAAGCTTAAGTACACTACAATAAATAGACAAGCAAGTTTTTGGCTTAGTGGTCTGACGGCCGACGGATTTAAAATTCAACGCTAGCTGCAAAGTTGGTTAGGATAAATAAATCATATAAAATAAAATAGATTTTTCAGTCCTCAGCAAAGAAAAAATAACTCTCTCTTCCACAATATATATATATATATATATATATATATATATATATATATATATATATATATATATATGCATGTTTCATTAAAATGACAGACAAAATACTACAGTTAAGCTTTTATTTAAGTTTTTCTTGTGTTCATAAAAGCTTTTCTTTTTGGGACACAGAGTGTGTAGAAACAGCCCAAAGTGTTCATAAAAGAAATCACTTGTGCGAACACAAGAAAAATTAAATAAAAAGGTTAACCGTTGTATCTTGTCTGTCGTTTTTAATGAAACATGCATAAATGAAGGATTGCTGCCTAAATATACAATTATATATATATATGTGTGTGTGTGTGTGTGTGTGTATGTGTGTGTGTGTGTGTGTGTGTGTGTGTGTGTTTGAACAGTAAAAAATAGCCATTGTACACCCCGGCCTTCTTCAGGTGGTTGGAATGTCGGACTGAACCCTTCATTTCGCTCACTGGGTAGACTGTTCTAGTTCCACGTGCCATGTCTAATGGATGTCAGTTATCAGTTATCTCCTGTTAATTTCCCTCTCCA